ACAAAAATAAAGCGTGGGATGAATCTCATATGGGCAAGAAGTCCTGTTGACGAGAACGGTAAGTTTATATTTTACGTGTTTTCGACACGTACAGCGCCCTCCTTACATGTAGTTATGTAGATGTACGTACCGAAAAAGAAAAATGTACCTTTTTTCAGTCATCAAAATCCTCACAGAGGCATACCACGCCAAGGTTACGGGTATTGCACAAAGATGCACAGTAAATCAATCAAGAGATCGTTTGAAATTGCACAATTTAAAGAGATATGGTCATGCTTTATAGATCTGAAATTGGGAACTTGAGTGGCCTGGTCGATGGTCGGACAGTCATACCATATGTTTATTCCTAACCTCCATGGTTATACTAGTCATTGTCAGGTGGGTGCATGAGGGCCAGGCCTGTGATATAGCACCAACGCAACAGTATTTCGGGATACACGGACGCCAGTAATTGTTCCCTACAGTAATCTATTAGCCGTCAGAAAGCAAACAAAAATATGTCAAGAAAAGTTCCCAGGGAAAGAAAACCCAAGTCGTTTACTTAGAAAACACTAAACAATCTTCTGACCAGTCCCGTACACCATGGGCGTACATGTAGATTATAGATATACATGATATGTGCATAGGTGGCGTTCGTATACTAGGCATGGAACTCTTTCCGATGCACGTACAACTGCAATTTCATATTGTTACCTCACTATGCAAACCTTCAGATCAAGACCGTCAGTTTATTAAGTGATTCTGTTATTTTTAAGCTCTTTTTGGTCATTTTAAATTGATTGAAATTACTGTCATGTAATGCTATATTTCAATAAATTTAGTTTTAGAGGATTTCCCCTTATCAGTTTGATGTCTGATGTGATAATGCTCAATCTGGCATGAACATACTCCTCATCCTGTTAGCCTTGGAATCCAAGGCCAACTTTAATTCCTGCTTGAGATCCACGGGATAGCATGCTCCTCCACGAGATGTATATGGAGAGTTACGCTTTCTGTTGGGAGGTTGCCCGGAGAAAATTGGACGTTTGCTTGACTGTAGCCATAGTAAATTTAATGAGATGACAAATTCAGTGAAATTGTTTCTACGAATATTCTGTTNAAATGTATTATATTCTGTTTTCATGAATATGTTACACCCAATGTAGAATTGGCTAAAGCCCAAAAAATTGTTTTTTCTGATCTCCTCAGTCTCAAACCTCTTTCAAACTGTTCATGACTTGAACTTTTCCAGACTTGATCTTTAATCCGTGGCTCAGCCAGGCCATATCTCCTCTATAGCTGGAAAATTATTCCTTGTTTTGGAGTAACAATAGTGTAAACTTCTCTAAACTATGCTTTTCTTTCAGCTCAGTGACACACTGATCTTCGGCAACAAGAATTTGTCATCAGGCATTTAATTTAAACTTTCTTGCTGATGTATTCAGAGTTGACTGGCCAATGCCCTTCCAAGGATAGCTGTTTTCCTTTATCTCGCGCTAAGCTCAGCAGTGCCATGTCCGGGGACAGATCCAGAACCAAGTGTTTTTGGGGAGGTCATTTACAAGGGTTCAAAATTAAAAAAAAAAATTGAACCTTGTAAGGCCTTTGGGGGTAAGGCTACATGATGGATAATTTGCATGGTTGTTGAAGAATGGGAAGTAAAAAACGGTACAAGAACATTAGAGGATTCTTTTAAAATTAACCTGTTTTGATTGTTCATGTTTTTACATGTATGACATGAAAGTATTTAATTGTTTGATCATGGTGGTTATTTTGCCATGAGCAGAATATTCAGTAGCAACATTATTACAGTGCAAAAGTATTTTTACCATTTGGAATATGAAGGTTGCAAACATGAGGTATCAATGACAACATGATTTTCTTCACATTTCTTTTCTCAATTGGTTTTTATTAATTAAAGCATTTTCTTTTGTGTAATTTCATGTTAAATTAAAAGTGACAATGCTTTTAATAAATGCTGTTCTGTTTTTAATTGTCTTAATGAGAAAAGTATCCTATAATTTACATGTACATGTATCTTATATATGTCAGCACCGGAAGGCTTGACACCACATTATGGCAATGTCTTCTGCAAATCTGCTGTGAAAGAAAAATACAGCATGATATCAATAAAAAAATCTAACCTCTTTTACCTCTGAATTTTATATATGTAGTCTGATGAATGGAAATACCACAAAGCCCTTAAGAGAAGAAGAAACTCATTTAAGATGAAATAGAAAATACGTTAGAGGCTAATGAGTTTACTCAGTGATATTTAGACACCATTCTCAAGTAATATATCTACTTGTACTGATCTAGAAAAAATATATATCACCAGGCCACCTATTCAGTTTTGAACTCTGCAGTAATTCCATAATTTGGCCTGGGGAGTTTTCTTTTTTGCATAACTGTCTAAATTGTATGTTTTCTAATGCAGTGAGTCACTTTGGGAAGAACAAGGAGCACTCCATGAATGTCAATGTCAAGATAGAGAGCTTGTCAAGCATTGGGGAAACTTTACTTCACTTCAGACATGCTGTGTGGAAGAAATATGAGCTCATTCATTGTCTTTTGAATGTACATGGTTTTATCAATTCATTAAGGAGTTCAGTTTTTTCCTGTCTAATCTGACATGATTTTGTTAGTTTAGAAAACATTCTTGAGTGTCCAAGAGTATTTAAAGAATACAAATAGCCTACCAAGTAAATACGTGTATTATTTGAAGACCACATCAATGACAGGTTCCACTAGACGGATGTAACAGGTACACAGAAAAAATGTCACCATATATATTTACCCCTAATTTGAGAATAACAGACATGGCATCTCCCTACCTTCGTATAATATTGTTTTTGCCTCTAGTGCACTGAAAGAATTCTTCATTTAACTTACCGGCTTAAAATGACCAATGAAATTCTGTATTGGCCAGATTTTGAAAGTGCACAATAACCCTCCGCTTGATTTGAGTAATGCTGGTGTAGGTATTAGAATGACTTATCGTTATGAATTCAAAGCAATGTCGACGTTAATATGGAATTTTCTTAGATTTATTCAAGTGCACTTCCTTTCAGAACACTCAAACTGAATTTGTGGCAATTTCCGGATGCGACTTCTTTTTATTTCCGACCAATTGCACGACACTGAAAGCATTGTGGAGGTAATAGTCTTTATCTGGATGATTTTGAAGTTTGCAACACAGATTTGGCAACACTGTTGGGTAAAGTCGACTGGACCACGCTAGAACACCCGTACGCCAAGTAACGGTAACACATCCTTCTTACACTGGACATTGTAACGTCGAATGTCGGTGTATGGACACACAACATTCCGGCGGGTTGCTCGCCATACAAATACATGTGCTGGCATTCCGCTTCGACAGAGTAATTTGCCAACCCGTGGCGCACGGATTCGTCCGTGCAATCTCTGCGAATCGGTCAGGCACCCTGTACCACCACGATGTAGCTGGTGTCTTAGAAGTACCGACTGGTGGCGTGTTTCGCGTATAAACGCCGCTTATTAGGGAGTGCAGATGTCTTAACCACTCGGTCCCCGCACTAGTAAGCAGGAGGTCTTGGGTTCGAGTCCCACCCGAGTAAGCTTGTGAGGTTTTTTCGCAAGCTCTCGGACAAGCACTGAGTATACAGTACTTATTAATATACGTTGGGTAAGGGCAAACCCGTTATATATAATTAACATCTCCCCAACGCAAAAATACATCTTGAAAATAGTTCGCGGTACCCGCTGCTTCATTTGACTTGGGCCGGCCAGCCGACCCCGGCAAGCTCGGTGGTCGAGTGGTTAAGACATCTGCACTAGTAATCAGGAGGTTGTGGGTTCGAATCCCACCCGAGTAAGCTTGTGAGGTTTTTTTGGCAAGCTCTCGGACAAGCACTGAGCATACAGTGCTTTTTTAATATCCCTTGGGTAAGGGCAAACCCGTTATATATAATTAACATCTCCCCAACGCAAAATACATCTTGAAAATTACCAAATCTACTCGAATCAGGCAAATCACAAGGATCACCGTAGGGCAAAGTACAACTAAACCGCGTTTTCCTCTTTCACAAAGAGACATGCAAAATCGACTCCCAAAATGAATTATAATGTAACAATTTTGCACCTGGCACGCGCTATGCATGCCCGTATGCTGCACATGTGCGTGGTGTTTTTGCGAAGAGATAAAAGTCCACGATTTTCTGTGTTTTAACGACCAGAAAGAGTGTTTGTTTAGAAAATATACAAATTGCGTCGATTTTCTTATTTTTTTTAGTTTTGTGTAGCTTCTTTCAGGACGTAGCTTTTGGTAAGTCAAAAGAATGTTAATTTAAATACTGGGGAAATAGGCGTTTGAAAAAGAGACTAACTCAAATGCAATTTCTCGAAAATTACAGTGGTTTTTTACTCTATGGCAAGACTTTTGTCTTTTCGTGAAAACGGTGACAATATATGAAATCAGTACAAGAGGGGTGCAGGCAATTTTTTTATCATTCGTTTTATTAGCAATATGTCGCAGTCTTATACCTACCACAACCCAGAGTCGTCCTTGGCCGACGTCATTGAACGGTCTGACTGGTGCAGGCTCATTTGGTAATGTCTAATACCAAGCGCTCTCTTAACCTCAGAGACCCTACAAGTATGACAGCTAATACATTCATTCGGGCAGAGATGGAGGCGGGTGACTCACCTTGCAAACGGCATTAGGGCACCATTTTCAGATTTGGCAATGTTTCCTTTTCCCGTTATCATAATCATATTACTTGCAACTCTCACACTGGATTGGAAGATGTGTAGGCGCTGGAAACTAAGTAGGCCTATCGTGCTAGATACTACACCTTGATCTCGCCTGCCTAAGTCGAATCGCTTTATACCACAATACTTAGTTTCCAGCGCTTACACATCTACCAATCCAGTGTGAGAGTTGCAGTGGGAGATGTTTACTCGACTTTGTCTTCCCCCAGTGCAGAAAATTCTGCCATCAATTACCCAAGTCTTCCAACACTAGACATTTATTGTCTACTCACCCCAAGGTGCTATGGGTGTCACCAGTAGACAGAGTTCCTCCCACCTTTGTCGAACCTCCGTGTCGTTAACTCACTGAAAACAACCGACGGATGGAAGAACATCAACGTTATTGGGGTGGCTGAGAACGAAACGAAATTGTAACTCGAACTGAAACCGACGAACTAAGGGACACGCACGTATGTTCACGGCTGCTATTTAGTGAGTGCGCACGCGCATGATATTATCAGAGTTGCACCTGTAGCAACGAGAGAGATTAAGTTTCGCACGACTTATTTGCAAAATTGTTGATGACGGTTTGCTGGACAGATTTTAGGAAATATGGAGATAATTATGTACCAAAAGATAGAGTTCAAATATCGACTTTCTCGGCAGACCTCGGCCTCTGTATCGTTTATTTTTCGATTCTGCGCAAGAAGACTTTCAAAAGGTGGAATTTCAGACACGCCAATATCCATGAGTCGGTTTAAGTTTCTCCAAAAACTTTTCTCGTATTTTGTACATGAAACTCATTTGTTAACTTTGAGATTCTTGGACAAATTACAAGTTAAGGACTTCCTGAGTAGTGTGAGAAAGAGAGTTTCAGCTCAACTTTCCCCCCTCTACCAACCAGACCCCCTTTTCACCCCTCTTCCCAAGACTTTCCCTCTCCCACCTCCGGAAAATTCTGAAAAATGTTGCCTTTGATCGGTTTTGTAAAAAGGATCTAACTTTTGCTACGCAATTCGAATAAGCCAAATTAGTCACAGCTCACGCGGTGTGGTTAACTGTAAACGGCTGTGAAACGAAACTTGATTTAATTGAGCCAACGAAACTGGACATACAGAGTCAAAGGCATCACATTTGCTTGGTGAAAAAACCAAAGGCAGAAATTAAGTTGATAAACCGAAGCAAATATTCATTCCCAGTGATTAAAATTTAAAAAAAATAAACTTCGTTAAAATAGAAACAGAGATGTCAAACCAAAAAAAAAACAACGTAAGATGTTACTTTTTGAAAGACACGGTTCGATCTGCTAACGTGATACATATGCCGTTGATTGTTTGCATTGCTTAAATTCTAATGGTATCTTTGAATGTATCCATTGCAAAGAATGTCACGACTGCCACAAACGTCACGACTGTACGAAATGTTCCCGTTGTTCAAATTGCAGCGAATGCGGCAACTGTATAAATTTCGTTTATTGTTTTAGTTGTTTGGATCATGTCATATTTGTAGATAATTGTTACAAAAGAATTGGCATAAACGAGAAGGCGATTTACCGCCTAATTCTGAATCTAAGCTGGATGCCAATTACTGTGATGTCGAGTTAATAACTGAATATGACGTCAACATAGAAAATTTAAATAGAGTAGAGCTTAATGAAAGTTTAATAGACGCGGCCCGTTGACCGCCAGAAAAATGGAAAAAAATTCAAACTAAAAATCAGAAACATGTCAACCCAAATTTACATCGTAACCGACAACCACAAACGTCTCAATGTCAACAATAACGATCCCAATGTTGTTTACGGTCCTTTTAATCCCAGCAGACTGATTATTTCAAACCCTGTGATAAAAGAAGTTACAAATGTATCTCAATGCTATTCACCCATTTATGATAATCACGACGGCAAAGAAAAGCGCATGCTGATTATGATGACAGACACGACTTGTTACGGCATAAATTCCGTCCATAAATTTGGCACGCGTGATGAAACTGTCGAAAATGTAGTTAGTCAGCAAATCTGTTAGTAACTACAAAAACCCATGATTCGTATATTTGATGATATAAACTTGGCGGCTTATGGTGAAAAGTTTCCATCTAGTACAATAAACGCTTACAAAGCCAGTCGCAATATCGAAGATTTAAACCAGGTAGATTACGTCTTGAAATCCGCCTATACAGTTAAACATCAAATGTACATTAAAATAGGTTCACATGCTTCCGAATTCCTTCAAATACAATCAGAGTTTTATCAAAAGCCCAAATCCAAGACAAAGAAAAATTTTAAACAATTAGACGTCATATTGACTACCAAGCAAGCGGGTCTCATAGAAAACAAACCAAGTTTTAGTAGGTAAAATCTCTAGAGGCAAACCACTCAGGGCTTTAATTGCTGTATGCTATCAAGACGTGACAAAAGAAACTGTAGACAAAGTAAAAGACCTATTTCAAGTCTCGGAAAAACATTGGTGCGATGCCGTCAATAAATTTAAAAACCATTTATAATAAAAAGGAAACGCATTTTTTATGTGACCAAAAGCGAACAGACGTTAAAATTAGGAAATACCATCGATGATTTAAAAGGCAACGCATCTGTTTAAGTAAAAAAAGTAAGTTTTTACCCGGGATATTTTAACATTACAAAATCCACTGAAATCGAATGGCAAACTCGAGTCAAAGGAAGGCCTGCTAGAAGGAGTCTTGCTGAAGGGAGACCCTAGGGAGGTCCTGCTGAAGGGAGACCCGAAGGACGCAGACTGAATTTGGATATGTGTTTTCTACCGTTATATGGTCTAAACTGGGCGGTTTAATTTTCAATAATTTCTTCCCAAGCATAGCGTATCCCATGGAAATTACTGAAACAACGGCACCGTGGTATGCCGTATTGGCAATCCCATTTACATCGATCGATTTTGCGTTACTCATGCTTTAAAATATACGGTTCTTAGATTACTCCATATCTAAAATTTCTTGCGCGAGTGCTACGGTTTGAACTGACGGCACGGTTTGAACTTTTGATGCCGTGGGGCAGTAGGTTTCTTTTTAAAAAACAAAACGAGAGCCAACACGCCGATCGCTAAGCCAGCAAAAATCAAGTTTCTGTTTTCTATGTAGAACTTCCTTTCGGATTTTGCCTTGGTTTCTGACACGTGGACTTTCAACCTAGCGAGCTGTTCTTTCATTTTCCTATTACGTTCTTCCAATCGTTTTCCTTGCTCTACACGTTAGAAATGTTTAATTTTTGTCACCCTCTGCACCTGTTACTTCACCGGACTGGCTGCTGGTATTTGCCTCTTTTCCGTTGATATTGTCTTTTACTATAGAAGGATTTTTATTAATAGCCAAGAGTTTCGTTGTTATTAAGGTAGTTATCACAGGCGAAAGGTAAGCCCCATATTTGTAGCAAATTTCGCTAAACAGATGTCCCGTGTTTTGGCTAATTATAGGACCATGGTTTAAATCTTTTGCTAAACTTCTTCAGATTTCAAATCGACGTTAAATCCTAAAAACTCAACAGTTGTGGCTATTCCCAAAAGTCTGACGTAGAGGCTTAGAATCGAATAGAGGGATTTCACATTGGCGCAGTCTGCGCATATTGGCATCGAAACCAAGGCTCTCTGTGTTGAACTTCATCGCGCGCGCCCGCGAAGTCGACACAGTAAATCCAGTATTCCTGTCGTAAGTGTGACACCACTTCAGTTTAAACCACGCCCACTGCACAAAATACGCAGGTACGTTAGTTCGCTGTGAATTGTCGGTTTTTTTTTATTTCACGTGTTGAGTCATCCTGAAAGACTCTTCAACAAAATTTTGCAGCCTGAAAAGTCTGAATTTAACATACTTTAAGGAATTGGTTTCCTAACTCCTTACTTTCAATCGTCTGATCATATTAAGAATTGAAAGTGACACATACAGCCCCGTTTTCAAAGCGTCATCAAACGCTTTTTGGTATAATTCAAACTCTTCGTTTAAATTTAGATTTTCTCGGTCTAAGTCACATAAACGTTCTCTTCCGTATGCACCCACAATCTTTCGCGGTAACTTTTTTTAAACAACGTTGGACATATGATCACGATCGCCTCGTATGTAAACTGATACTCTTTTTCTAATAAATCCAATATCCACTGAGTCTTCCCTCTGCCAGTTTTGCCCACAATCGAAGCACAATGCGGATTTTTGTACATATTCAAACTAATGTTTCTTTTTTCTTAAACCAAATCTAATAAACTAGATTTTTGAAATTTCCGTCTTTTACCGTCAACTGCGCGTCTATTACCCAAAACACGTACATGTACACTGGTCCGGCCGTCGTCTTGCATTCTCTTGCTATCTGAATCGAGATATCACCTCCAATTATCGTCCGAGCTGCGGAAGTCTAACCACGAACCGTATTTTTCTTTTAGGTAGCTACCCAAGTCTGTGCCTTTCAAGTTTAAATCTTTCACGACCGCACGACCGGATTCTGTATCCGAAGGGCAAAAAAATTGCAAATTTCGTTCCAATGTTGATATTCGAGCAAACCTTGCGAATATAGCTGATTAAGTTTCCCCTCAACTGTGATGCTACTTTTCGTAACGTGCAGAACCTAAATTAAAACGGCTCTCAAACTTTTAATCGTTTGGTTTATACAAATGTTCCATAACGTGTCTGTTTTCTTGACGGCTTGTTTTTTCCAGGAATGGATCCAGTCGAATAGATATTACACCACGCCTTTGTGCTTTTGCCGCAAAGTTTGAACCAGGTCTCGGTTGGTTACTACCTCGTACTCCAAACTCAGATCGCAAATGGCATATTCGGCGGCTGTGTCTGTACTTTTGGCAACCTTGTCATGCCCGTTGAACGTCAGTTGGTACGTCAAAGGTTCTTTAAAACCTGAAGGATTAAAAGGCCTAGGTTCTGTTAGTAGAGGTAGATCTACCGGAATTGCGTATCTGTTTTTATAAGCGTCGGCAATCGCCTTATGTTTACCGTCATTGGCTGCTTTATTTTTGTCGGCCGCGCCTAATCGCAACTTGGCTATATTTTCCCTTTCCAACCCTATGTATCCCTTGTTTTTACTCTGTGTCAAAGGTAGCCAAATTGTCTTTGTTGCCTTGTAGACTAGCGTTTAAGTTCCGAGATTAAATTACGAGCGACGTTGTTGTACACTGTTCTATTATCGCCGATGCTCCGTCCAACTCCAACTTGAAAGCTAACTTCACGGTTCCAGGTACGACAACATCGTCTACCCCCAACGCCGGGAATTTAACATTTAACGTGTGGCCGGCCGATATGGTGCTCGGATTATGTGTCATGGTGTCTTCTCGTCTTTCGCCCTTGATAGCGATAGGTATTTTTAACCGGCGGCTTGGGTTTAGTTTCTTAGTGTA